TATATATATATATATATATATATATATATATATATATATATATATATATATATATATATTAATTCAACAATATGAATAAAAAAATATTTTGGCAAAAATTTTAAATAAAATATTAAATAATTTATGGAGGATATATTTGTATAATTTACTGTTTTTTTCTTTTCTTTTTTTCTTTTTCTTTTCAGAGAGATATATAAACGTTATTGTATCTAAAAATTTTGTATTACCATAATTTAAATGGTAAATGGGTACCCGTGGGTACCTGGATATTCGTGGTAATGGATATGGTATTTTCATTAACTTTTTAAAAGGGTTTGGTATGCTCATGGTTTGAGCTATATTAAATGGGAATGGCTCTGGTATTGACTTTTTCGAGGGTACCCGCTCCGCTGCCATCCCTATGTGTAGGGATGTGTATTCGTGGATACATATCTATAGTTGACGCAAAATAAACATTTATTATTTTTTTTAGAATTTATAAATAATTCCTATGTTTTAAATATTTACATGTTTTTCCATATAATTTTTTTAGAATTTATAAATAATTCCTATGTTTTAAATATTTACATGTTTTTCCATGTTCCTGCTGTATCCATTTTTTTTAGAAATGTAAGGTTTTTCCCGCATCCGTTTCCCCATTTCGCTGTGTCGGCGTTCTCGTATCCTTGCTACATGAATTGAACCCTTCGCACAAGATTTGTCCGGTGTAATTTTATAATGCTCTGTAGTGTATGAACTATTGCACGAAAGCCGAATTTATCAATTTCATATATATAGCTGCAAATTATTTTAGAAAAGGGTAAATTACAACCACCTCCTGAGGTATGGTCAAATTACGAAAAATCACCTCTTGTTTGGGTAATTACAACCATCCCCATCAACTATAAATCTTCTTACACGTCAACCCCTGCGGTTTTAAATTTAGTGAAATCTTGAAGATTATATGGAATATTTATTACTTTTGTACCCGTTTTATCCCATTCGTACTCCACATTTTGAAGCAAGATGATCATAGTATGTGTTTTTTGGCTTGTATATATCAGATTGCGGTGCATCATAAACTATATTTTTACACAAAACGAGTACAAACTAGATCACATTCCACTAAATCTAGATAATTATGTATTTGACACCATAAGAATGGATATGTAAGAAAAAAATTATATTTGAGAAATAGATGTAATTATCCAAACAAGAGGGATTTTTTTCGTAAATTAGCCATACCTCAAAGATTGTTGTAATTTACCTTAAAAAAAGTAAAAAATAAAAATAAAAATAAAAGAAGAAGAACCAGTGTGCAGTGAGCAAGTCTTAGTCTACTATCTTCCTTTACTCTTTCTTCACAAAAAACACCAAAAACACACACACTAAGCGTGCGAAAAAAATAAAATGGGGATCTGGGAGTTCATCGGTTCAACAGCTGAATCTGTGAAACGGAACGCACCAGATGCGACGCCGTTGAAGATCGCGTGCAGAAATTCCTACAATTACGGCTCCGCCGCCCTCGCGAAGCTCGATCAGGCCGTCAGGATCGACGGCGTCTACCAGCTCCGCCGCCGGTGGATCCCCGACGATGAAACCAAATCAAAGATCGGGTTGTACAGCACCAAATTCGCCAAAAATGCAGGTGTTTATGCAATTCAGGAGGGCTACAAATTGATCCCCGGTCAGTTTATTTCCAATTTTCCACCCCTTATTTTGCATTTTTGCTTACCCTTGAATTTTGGGCAAATTGCACATCACACCCTGTAAATTTCTAATTTTCGCACTTTACCTCTCAAAAAATTTAAAAGTTAATGCCCCCCTTCAAAATATTATTCTTGTTGCATATTGGCCCGATAGCAAAATTCCAATGGATTATCCATCGGAATTGAGGATTCTTGTTTGGACGTTGCTCCTTTAAATGTTATTTTTATTGCACATTACCTCTTAAAAACATTACTTTTTTGCACATTGCCCCTTTAAAATGTTATTTTTGTTGCACAATGTCCTCCAAAAATTGGATAATGAGGCAAAATGCAATCAATATAATATATCCAAGGGGGAATAACATTTTTTTAATTTTTATGGCCGAAAGTGCGAAAAACAGAAATTTATAATGGGCAAAGTGCATTTTGTCCTAGATTTTTGGGAAAATTGCAAATTACCCCCTAAAAATTTCTAATTTTCACAGTTTAACCCCTCAAAATTTTAAAAAGTGAATATTCCCACTCAAAATGTTATTCTTGTTGCAAATGCCCCCCGATAGCAAAATTTCGATGGATTATTCGTAGGCATTTGAATATTTTTGTGCACGGGACCCCTTTATATGTGATCTTTATTGCCTGTTACCCTTAAAAACATTATCTTTTTGCACATTTCCCCTTTAAAATGTTATTTTTGTTGCACAATGCCCACTAAAAATTGGCTTCTGGGGCAAAGTGCAACCAAAATGATATTTTGAAGGGGGATTATTCATTTTTTGAATTTTTAGGGGGGAAAATGCGAAAATGGAAACTTTGTAGGGGGTGAAGTGAATTTTGTCCTAGATTTTTTATAAGGTAAAATTGCACATCACCCCCTGTAAATTTCTAATTTCCGCACTTTACCCCTCAAAATTTTTAAAAGTGAATGTTCCCCTTCAAAATGTTATTACTGTTGCACATTGCCCCGGTAACAAAACTCTGATGGATTATTCATCTAATTGAGTTTTTGTGTTGCACGTTGCCCCTTTAAATGTTATTTTTGTTGCACGTTGCCCCTTTAAAACACTATTTCTTTGCACGTCGCCCATTTAAAATGTTATTTTTGTTGCACAATGCCCTCCAAAAAATGGTTGCTGGGGCAAAGTGCAACCAAAATAATATTTCGAAGGGGGAGTATCCCTTTTTTAAATTCTTAAGGAGGAAAGCGCGAAATTGAAAATTTTATAGGGGGTGAAGTGCATTTTGTCCCTTTTTATATATTATTTCCAAGATAAATTATTTACTCATTCAGATGACTTCAATGGAAATATTTTCTCAAGGATTCAACTCCGAAACGATATCAAAGGAACCATTTCTATAATAGTCACAACTAGGGGTGGAAATCAGACGGACTGGATCGGAATTAACACTTTCGGAAAAAATCCAATTTTTTAATTAGGAAAGCAAAACTAATTCCAATTCCGTTAAAAAAAATCGAAGAAATAAGAAATTGGAATCCGGAAATCGGAATTAAAAAACTTGTTCCAAAATTGGAAAATTTCGGATTGGAATCGACGGAATTCGGAATTTCCAAATTTTTAGTCACCTATAGTAAAAAAAAAATACATGATAAATACTGATAGTTTAAGTGTATTTTTCGGAAATATTTTTGGAAATTAAAATTGGATCGAGAATTGAGACCTAATATGTATTCCAATTCCGTTCCATAAAAAAAAATGGAAAAATCGGAACTCGAAATACATTGTTTATTCCAAAATCGGAAATATTTAGATCATAATCGGTAGAATTTGGAAATTCAGTTAACCCCTAGTCACAACTGGTCTAACGAACCGGCTGCAAAACTAGTATGAAGTTGGAATTCTCCAAATAAGTTTCTTCTACTCACACGGCTTGCAATATAACAACAATTTGTGTGTGCAGGCGGAGTTGCATTTTCGAAAATTGTATCTAAAACCATGCACGATATCGAATACGAGAATCTTGCAGCAGAGAAGCTCAGGCTGTCGGAGAAGAAGGAAGATACACCGCATAAACACTCGGATGGTGGTGGCCGGAGATTGATCGACGGAGCTGAGATGCAGGGCAGCGGCGGTGTTGAATATTCCGTCTCGAAAGTATTGGCTACTGATAAAAGTCCGGAAGATGTGATCAGAACTTTTATGATGAAAGAGTTTTTCGGTGTTCGATTTTTCGACGATTTAATGGTGCATGAATTAGCAAGAGCGACGAAAGGGAAGAAGAAGACTGATAACTAATGCAGCCCGGGACATCTGCTATTAAACCTGTTTGTTATGTTGTTTCATGATTGAAAATATTGTGTCAAGTTCCCTGTTTGGAAGTTGTGTTTTAGCATAACTTGATAAACGGTTTAGTTGCGCTCGAACGAGCTTTAATCAAATCGAATATCAATCGAGCTTAAGTAGTTTGATTTTTTTATTTCTTTTTTATGTATTTTATCATTTATTTCTAGTCGAGATGGAGCCAAACTTCATAATTTATTAAACAAGAATGTGTTGGCATTTGATTTGTTATGTTGACAAATCGAGTTCAAACGAACCTTTTAAGGAACAATCTTGAATCGGATCTTAAGGATGACAATTTGATCCGCTCCACCCCGAAAATAGCAGTATTCCGTGCCTAAAAATAATATGGGGTGGATATGGGGACTAGGGGTATGAACGAGCTGAGCTTGTCGAGTTTATTGTTTTTTTGTTCGAGGTCGACCTCGAGCCCAAGCTCATATTTGGGGTTTTTTTTAATTATTAAATTTCATTATTATAAAATATTTAGATTATAATAAAACAAATTCAAAATAAATATTAAACTGTAATTATATATATATATATATATATATATATATATATATATATATTCTTTTTATATTATTATACATTATTTAATAAAAAATAATATATAAAAAAATAAAATAAAATAAGGCTCGCAAGTCGGCTCGTGAGCTCACGAACAACTAAAAGAAAGTTCGAGTTCGAGTTTTTTTCGAGACGGCTCATCGAGCTCACGAGCGGCTCAACTCGTTTACCACCCCTAATGGGGACTAACGCGAAATTTAAATCGGGTATGGGGCACGACGAGTTTTTCTATACCCGCCCCATAGCCTCGCCTCATCATTTTAATTCTACTATTTTTTTTAAATTGAATCTTATTTCCATGAAATTTAATTTAATTTTTATATTTTTCCGCTCATTTTCACAAGAATAATTTGAAATATATATATTGCTTATTAACAAGCTGTTATGTTAAGAGACAGATAATTATCCCTTGTGCAAGTTTAATGTTGATGAAAACACTTTAACCTTAAACTATGCTAAGTTTATTACTAACTTCATTTGTACAATAAGTTCCAAAGTGTCTAAGCTTGAGTTCGGCAACAATTGTGCACGTGGGGAGGCCCGGGTATGGACGGCTCACAATCAAATGTCGTCGGCGCTTTTGTATGCTGAATACACTATACGACTAACGTTTGTGTCTATCCTGACACCAATTGATATGGCGGCCCACAATCAAATGTCGTGTACGTTTGTGTGTGTTGAATGCACTATAAAATTAGAGTTTGCGTCTTTTGGTGATACAGACGCCTCAGAATTTGTGCCCAATAAATTATAAGATTAAAAAATAAAATAAAATAATTTGTCAAAATCAACCAAACCATAGTTCTTAGGGACAAAAAAAAAATGCTGACTTTTTCTTCACATTCATGTATCATTAATTAAATTATGTCCTGACATGTAGTAATTTTCAAATCTTGCCAAACCATCAATATTTAGTCAAACATATGTTTTGTCTGAATTAGTATGAAACCATGTTGGATAATCTGTACTCATTAGTAGTACTACATTTGACTTTAGTTCAACTCAAAGATAAACAAATTAAACTAATACTTATAAAATTGCAAGTGTACATGTTCACGAGAATTTGTAACACCATTTTTTGGTTAAATTACAACCACCTCCTTGAGGTATGGTTAAATTACAAAAAAACCCCTCATGTTTGGATAATTACATCTGCCCCTTCAACCTTCAACTATGAATCTTCTTATACCTCCTCCACCCTTATGGTGTCAAATTCAACATAATCATCTAGATTCCGTGGAATGTTCTCTAGTATGTACTCGTTTTGTGCAAAAATACAGTTTATGATGCACCACAATCTGATATATACAAGCCAAAAAACTCATTTTATGACCATCTTGCTTCAAAATATGGAGCTCGAATGAGATAAAACGGGTGCGAAATCGAGAATATTTCATATAATCTAGAAGATTCCACTAAGTTTGAAACCGCAAGGGTGGACGTGTAAGAAGATTTATAGTTGAAAGAATGGTTGTAATTACCCAAACTTGAGGGGTTTTTTCGTAATTTACCATACCTCGGGGGGTTGGTTGTAATTTACCTTTTCCTTTTTTTTTTGGTTTTACAGTAATAGACAAAAGATTACAAGCAATCTAAAAACTCTATATATATCACAAGAGATATGAAGACTTAATACACACACTTGTGTACTGATATTCTTTCTCTTCTTTATTTCGAGTTTTCGATTATTTTCGCATTAAGTCGAAAAATGATGAAGTTTTTGAGCTTGTTGATGATTGTGGTGATATGTGCATGCATTGTACTTCCACAAATCTCGGCACAGAAACTACAAGATAAGGTTACGTGCTCGAGCCGTAAAAGCCGGTGCTTCCTCCGGAGTATAAGTTGCCCTAAACAATGTCCGTTCACAACTCCGAAAGATCCAAAGGCTAAATCTTGCTACATCAACTGCAACTCTCCGATTTGCAAAGCCGAATGTAGACGTAAGTATATATTACAACTTCCCATTTTTAGCATTTTTCACATTTATACGATGCTTTTTTTTTTTTCTTTTTGTTCGTCCGATGGATTCAAAATCGTCCATTAAGAACTAAGAAGAGATTCTTTAAACTTTTTTCGGTGACGTGTTTCTTAAAAATTTAAAAGTTATAAACAATGCCGTTTTTTTTTTGGTAGTTCACAACCGTTAAGTATAGTGTTCTTGACGATTTTCCGTCTTTTTTTTTGGCTCTTTTTATTTGTCCCGTTAGGCCTCGTTTAATTGGTAGTATAAACTACGATTTACTAATTAATTAGGTCTTATTTGATATTTGTTTAGTGCAATTAACTTTTCGAGTCATCGAATAATTAGGACAAGATGTTAACGGGATCTTATCTGGTCTTATTGGGGGATTAGGTATTATTAGCCTAAGGTCTCATTTGGTGGATTTCATAGTTCTCTCTCGATTTTTCAGACAGAAAGCCGAGTTGCAAAGGCATCGGCGCGGCATGCTACGACCCTCGATTCATCGGCGCAGACGGAGTCGTTTTCTACTTCCACGGCAAGAGAGACGAGCATTTCGCCTTAGTCTCGGACACAAATCTCCAAATCAACGCCCGCTTCATCGGCCACCGCCCTGCGGGCCGGGCCCACGACTACACTTGGATCCAAGCCCTCGGCCTTCTCTTCGGGCCCCACAAAGTCTCCGTCGAGGCAACCAAAGCATCCACATGGGACAACAAAGTCGACCACCTCAAATTCTCCTTCAACGGCACCGAGATTCTAGATTCCGCCACCTCATCGTGGAAGTCTCTAGATGGTGATGTCACGGTGGAGAGGATATCGAGCGCGAATAGCGCGATTATTACTGTTTACGGACTCGTGGAGATCGGGGTGAATGTGGTTCCCATCACTAAAGAAGATGATAGAGTTCACAATTATCAAATACCTTTTGATGTTGATTGTTTTGCACATTTGGAAGTTCAATTTAGACTCTTGGATCTTTCGGCCGATGTGGACGGTGTTTTGGGCCGGACTTATAGGCCCGATTACGAGAACCGGGCCGGATTAGGTGTCGCGATGCCGGTGGTCGGAGGATATGATAAGTACAAAACTACGTCACTTTTCGCAGATGACTGCAAAAAATGCGTGTTTTCTTCAAAGAATGATGGAGATGATAAAGGGTCGATGTAATAAATTTGTTTGGTGTTGATGGGACTGTTTTGCAAGAAATGATACATTGTTTAATATCATTATGTAATACCTAAATAAAAGTAGCTGCATTTTCATGATTTGTTTTTGTATTTTATCTTCTTCTTTTGTATTGTAAGCACAAAGTTATGATGAAATAGTAAAGCTTGAAAGATTTTGGAGCAATATTTTTCATTCCGAATCCGAAAATTCCGATTCCGATGTTTTCCAATTTTTTTTGGATCGGAATTAAAATTTATATGAGATTCCAATTTCCAATCGGATTTTAATTTTCAAAATTAATTCTGAAAATTCCGATTTATTTCCAAAAATTAAACTTATAATATCAATATTATAATGCATTCTATACTTTTGGTGACTAATAAGTGGAATTTTCCAAATTCCGCCAATTCAGATCGAAAAAATTTCAATTTCAGAATGAGTTTTTTTCATTTCGACTTTCGATTTTTTTTTGGAACGGAATTGGATTTCGTTTTATCCTTCCAAAAAAAAAATTGGAAATGTTTCGCAAATGCAAACTAAGATCTGATCCGTCCGATTTCCAATCGTTCATCATAACTTATAAGGATGTAAACTGTATTAATCGAATTCATTATAAGGATACATTTTCACTCGGCAAAGCATATACAACTTTAAATCATATGCATTTGCCCCCCACCATTTCTACACAACAATACATACATTGAATCATATTTATTATTTCCCAAAAATAAAAATCAAATTGAGCAACATTTCCATAATAATAATAATTTCAAAAAAAAAAAAAAACCCGGGAATGTAATAATGTAGTAGTACTTCACCTGCCACGTGGATTTACCAGCTGCGAAAAAACGGCACTCGTGGCAGCATCTTCCGCATCGTCATCAGTACCGGAATGCCCCCCCTCAATCATCATACTGACACTGTTCTCAAACGGCTCCAAGGGCGTTAACGTAATTCCCCGAATATGATTCGTACTATTATCGTCCGGCTCCATCATAGCCATCGAAGAAGTTTCCTCGAGCTGGAGAGCATATTCCAGATTCCAAAGAATATCCCCCATCGAAGGCCTGTCCACACCGTGCTCCGCCAAACACTTCTCCGCAGTCTCCCCGAACTTCTTCAGAGAAGCCGAGTTCACTTTTCCCGCCAAATTCTTGTCCATGATCTGGTCCAGCATCCCCTTCTTCTGCCACGCCATCGCCCACTCGGCAATGTTGACTTGCTCGCGTGGCAGCACGGGGTTCAATGCAGGTCTTGTACAGAGCACCTCCATTAAAACAACCCCGAACGAGTAGACGTCCGATTTTTCGGTAAGTTGCTGCCTTCTGAAATACTCTGGATCGAGATACCCGAAACTACCCTTGACAGCCGTACTGACATGGGTTTGGTCTAAAGCGGGCCCCGCTTTCGACAATCCGAAATCCGCCACTTTGGCGACGAAATTTTCGTCCAATAATATGTTGGTTGTCTTCACGTCACGGTGGATGATGCTCTGCGCCGCTCCGGTGTGTAAATAGTGAAGCCCTCTAGCGGCACCGATGCATATCTCGAGGCGCTGCCGCCACGAGAGCGGCGGCAGATCGGTGCCGTATAAATGGCTTCTGAGGGGCCCGTTCGCCATGTACTCGTAGACAAGAATCATTTCAGACCGTTCGTCGCAGTATCCGATTAAGGAGACGAGGTGGCGGTGTCTGAGTTTGGACAGCATTTCGATTTCCGTTCGAAACTCGGCTAACCATTGTTCGGATCTTGGATTCCCTCTTTTGACAGCGACTCGAGTTCCGTCGTCTATTATTCCTTTATAAC